GCCGAGAGTCTTACGCACGCTCGCGTGAATGACAATACACGCTGAATATGAGAGAGAGAGAAGACCACGGATGCCGCGAACTAATCGCTCGCGCGCAACAAACAAATTCTTCGCGCTCGCTGCGCGGGATCGCACGCTAAATATAACGGTAAAAAGGGGAAAAGGTGCACCTACCGCAAGAACGATGAGGATACGGTGGCCAATCGTATCCGACTAGCAAATCGTTGGAACGCCGCTTCGCTGCTCGCTGCACCGCCTCAAATACTGTTACTGCTGTTGTTGTGGCTGTTGTCACTGCTACTACTGTTGCTGCTGCTGCTGCTGCTGCACTTACTGCTGCTACCCTCGCTGCTGCTGCTGCACTCAGCACTCTGCACCAACGTTCGTAATGTCACCAGGAAAAACGCACGAAAAACTAGGAAGAATGGAGGTTAGCGCGACGCTGATAGACTGAGTGGCACAGTCATACTGCCGGTCGGAGCCTCCCCTCCCGGTCATTGCCCCTACGCGCTCTCTCTCTCTCGCGAACCGAACGCGGCTCCTCTCGTTTAGCCGCTCATTTACCTCTCGCGAGTCTAACGATTTTCGGTAATCGTTGCAATATATATATATATATATATAATAGTGAACGAAATCAAAGCTGAATCAAATGAAGTTGAATTAAATGTATTAAATTATATCCATCCCTGCGTTTGCAACTATTTACAGTTTTGTAAATGAGCATAAGTATGGCCGTACATCTACCAAAAATTAACATCGTTTGGGTCACCCTGTGAACGTGACTATTCCCGAAACGATTGACAAAATCCACGATGTGACTTTAAGTGATCGATGAAACAAAATGCGTGAAATAATTGAGACCACAAGCATATCACAAAGTACAATTTCACATAAAAAACTAGGTGTGCAAAAAATTTCAGCAAGATGGATACCACGTTTACTTACAGTGGAGAATAAACGCAATCGAATAGTCGACTCTAAAGTTTTTTTGGTGCTTTTCCATCGTAATTCTGAGGACTTGCTGTGTGGATACAACCTTTTGATAAAACATACAGTTACGTGCATAAGTTTTTGGCCAGCCTATACTGAAGTTATCAAAAATTCAAAGTTTTGTAGCTCGCTCAGAAATAGTTGTAGGTGAACCCGTGGAAGCTCATTTTAAAGGATAAAGCAATACCTTTCATATTTCGCTAGTTTTTTTTAAACGATTGAAAATAGCATTTTTTATACTAAAAAAACTGGATCATATATTTTTATTTTTTTCATACTGCAAAAAACACTTTCTAGCTTTTGAAGGAGTCTGCAGATTTTTAAAAAATAAAATGGAAGTAATACGTATTTTCCTCCTCTTTAAAATGAGTGGAACAAAATTCTTTTTTATCGTGCCGATCTAAAGTTACGTTGATTTCATTTTTTAAATCACTTTTTTTCAAGTTCGTCTACCTTCGAATGTGTACACCGTAGAAGAAACTTAGAGAAAAAATGTTTGTTTTTTTAAGAAAAATAAGTATCTACTATTAAAATTCCATTTTAAAAAAAAAAGTTTTTTCATTTTTTTTATTGTAATTTTTTTTCAGTCTATTAAAAATGAAAATCTTTCGTTATTAGTATAATGAGTAAAACTCCTGACTCATTATGTCTCTCTCTCCCTAGTAGCGTTAAGGAAATGTAACCTATTTCTCCGAACCTATCCTATATATTCACGAATTTATTGTATTTATATTTATTCATTGTATATTTACATACGTAGCTGTATTCCTGTTCTGATACAAGGTAAGTGAAGTAAGAGAGAGATGCGAATACGCAGGGACACATCCGTGCGCGCCAGCAGGGCGCGGAGAGAGAGACAGATATGATCGCGCCTTAGCGAGTGATCGCGCGCACTGATTGGCTTGCTGAGACGGAATAACGAAGTTGAGCCCGCAGCGCGAGTAGTAGCTGTTTCGACACGCCAGTGAGCGGATGAAGTCCGATCGACTTTTTTTTCTACGGAACCTCAGCTTTATCGTTCTGCCCTTTTTCTTCGCCTTTGAAGTTATGTGGGAGACGTTTGGTGTCCGATCGAGCACGAGCTCTCTCTTTGTGGGCGTCTCCATGAGGGGAGCAGGTTGCGACGTTGCCTGATTCTTCGGACAGACTGGACACGTGAGCTGCGGTTGGTGATGCAGAAGATAAGACTGCCGGTGCACGAGGGACTGCTTCTGCCGAAGAGCTAGAGCTATGTGGTACATGTGGCGATTCATCCATTGTGTGCGTGCGTCAACGCAGACATTCACAGAAACCGTCAATGAACATAGTATTTAGGCATCTGTTTTGTAAGTACCGGCTTGATAATTTGATCTCTCTCTCTCTCTGTCTCTCTCTACTCGTTCGCTCAGCGCGCTCTCTCCCTCCGTCCGACCACCTTTGTTAATTATTTACAACTAAAAATTTTTGTAAACGTTCTAATATATTTACATCCCGCTACTTTATTCGAACACCCTACCTTCTCACGCCGATAGTTGCCTTCGAATTACCGACTTTCGCGCTTCTTAGCCAACACGACGAATTTGCGCTGATTCAGCCGTCCTGTCGTCGATGAACACCGGACCTCGGAGGACAACTACGGCCAGGAAATTTTTTATAAATTCAGTATAGTTTGACCGAAAACTGATGCACGTAACTGTAGATACACTACTATACTTCAGAAACAAAGAAATAGTCGAAACAGTAAATTTTTAAATGTAAACGAGCTTCGAAAAAGGTAATGGCCACATTCGATTGGGATGTACGCGGCATCATCTGCATTAATTACTTGGAAAAAGGAAAAACAATAAAAGGAAAGTATTATGCATCGTTGTTGCATCTGTTGAGCGAAAAAATCAAGAAGAAACACTCTCATTTGAAAAAGACAAAGGTTCTCTTTCATCAAGACAATGCATATATTCACATCTACGTAGTTTCGATGATCAAAATTATAGAACAAGGTTTAAATTATTATAACATCTACTATTCTCACTAAATTTAGCCCACGGTAACTTTTTCTTATTTCAAACTTTAAAAAATGGCTTGGTGAACGACGTCTTATGTCGAATTATAAGGTCATCGCAAAAACAAATGGCTATTTTAAGGAGCTTTCAAAATAGTTTTTTTCTGAACAACCTGAAAATTTTGGAAAAACTCTTGAAAAAATTTATAGAACTAAAACGAAGTTATGAATATATCTTTGAAAAATAAAAAAATCTATTTAAAAAAAATTTTTTTATATCTACTAAGGATTTATTGAACAAGCCTCGTACTTTACCAGATTTAATATACGAATTAGATATAAAATGTAGGTTAAAATAAAGCTAGAACAAAACAATATCAAAATATTCTATTTCAACCTTATTTCACGGCTTGCCTGATCGATATATGCAAATAAGGAAAAAAAAACATTTTTTTAACATTTCGTGAACAGATATGTTAATTTCTTCAGAACTTTATTATAAAAATACTGAATGAAAAAACAGTACGAAGTACAAACTAAACCATATCAATATAAATTAACAAACAATAACTTACAAAATAGCAGTCGAAGAAAACTATAGTCGTAAGAAATACATGTAGTCAACTTCTCTTATAATTATGATTCGGTCACACCTAGTGCCCGATTCTTAATCTGTAGTAGGCTTGTAATAGGATTACATATGTTACTGAGTTTTGTAGTATATTCTTTATCATTAATGCTGAATTTTATTACGAAAAAATAGAATGCTTCATTTTTTGTCATTTCAGCATTAATGATAAATATAAAGTTGAAAAAATTAATGGTAAAGTTAAAAAATATTAACAGAACATGAAAAGAGGTGTTTTCTTTCTATATTTGCCAACAATGATTTAGTATAGCATCACCTTATAAGATAAAACTTGTAAAATTGTAAAATAAAACTATAGTAGGCAACGACAGCAGTCAAAGTAAAAGCTCTTTCTCAAGTAAAAGGCGTAAAATAACGTCCATTGGCAAAAAAGATATTTAATATGAAGGATGAAAATTTCAACTGTTAATTTTATTGAAAGCAATTTTCATTTTTATTAATTATAACGTTGAGATATAAATCGGGAATTGAAAATCTTTTGGAAAAATTCAAAATTACCGTTTTACTGTACATTGCGTTAGGAACTATATGACGAGGAAAACCACTGAGTAGCGTTTTCTCTGTCTTCCCTGGCCTTTCCCTATCTAGGTGCATTGTCGTTAAAACGGACATTGATGTGATTGCGTTAGCGCATTACTAATGTCCGGTTTATCTGATTTGAGGTGGCGGATTAGCGAGAGAGGAGGAGAGGGAATATATAAGAGGCGCGCGAGAAAGGAGGAGAGGGAATATATAAGAGAGTGAAAGATGTGAACGGGAGGTTATTGTATGTGAAGATTCGGCTCGGGGTGTCACCGTTGGTAGAAGAGATGAGTTTTACGTAAAAATTCAGCTCGGAAAGTTACCATTGGTAGCAACATAGAGAAATTTGGTGTGATTTCGGTGTGTGCCGCGGATTACTGCAGGAATCTTTGATTTGTTTTGTTGGCTGATGATTTGGTGAACTGGATCGTCTCTCTCTTTTCGCTCCTCAAGAATCAGCTCTAGTTCGCGCATGATAGTCATAATGTTGTGGACTCAATTGACAATACTTAATATAACAACTTATGCCTGAAGCTTGCAAATTCAAACTTTGTATTAAATAGCATATACCAATCATATACCTGTTGCAAACAGACGAATCTGTACAATGTTTGATTCGGACCATATTATTTACACGTATTACACTTTAAATGTTGCTGCCTAAAATGATATAAAGGATTTATCTCAATTGATTAAATTAACGTAATATTGTAATGTTATTGAAAAATATTTCTAAATTGAAATTATCTTCTACATATTTTGTGATTGATGGTTATTTATATATTTGTTGATATTTACTTATAGCTCAACGAACTTTATTGTTAATTATATATTTTGATTTTTTTCTTAATTATGTTACAGGCGTTGTTCTCTTCTCATCTGCAGTTTATTTTGCAGAAGCTGGATCGGAAAATTCTTTTTTTAAGTCAATTCCAGATGCTTTTTGGTGGGCAGTTGTTACAATGACAACTGTTGGATACGGCGATATGACGTATGAAGTATTTAATTTATATAATAAAAATAAAAATTATAGATTCATGCTATTAGGGATTTTATAAAGTAGAATATGTTAAAATGTTATCCTTTTTATTCAAAACAAATCACTTTACAAAAAAATACTCGAAAAAATATTCGACACATGTTTCTTTTTATTGGCTAACATCTACTTTTAAAGGATTCAAGGGGTGAAATTCACCCCTGAAAACCACCCTGAAAAATGGTTTTTTTAATATATCTCTGCATGTAATGAATATTTTTAAATAAAATTATATCAGTAGAAGCACCTACTTAGAAGAAATGTTTAGGCATTAATTTTATTTAAAAATATTCATTAGATGCAGAGATATATTGATGTTGTCAGGGGTAGATTTCACCCCTTAAAAGTGGATATCAGCCGATAAAAAAAAACATGTGTAAAATATTTTTTCGAGTATTACAAAATATCTAAAAATCATTAAAGTTGGTTAGGTCGAATTGGAGTGGTTCCTTTGGAAGAGACTTTCGTACCCATATATCGCAAAAACGCAGAGAAAGAGAGAGAGAGAAAGAGACAAGACCTCACATAATTACTTGCACTTTTTCGAAACATTTATCTAAAAAAGCTAACAACTTATTTCGAAAACAATGATTTGTTGATACAGTTGTATTCGCTTACCTAAATCTGGGCGCAAGGCGGCTGGCCTTAGTTGGAATATAGCTTGTATTTGTTAGACGAGCTGCCTCAGAGGTATTGTCGAAGATGTTATATATTTTGAGCAAACAAATAGCTACTGTCTGGAGTCTTTTCATAAACTCTCTATCATAGCAAATACTTAAGATTTCTAATAGATTGCTACTCGTTTTCGCCGTCACTCCCACATGGTATCATTCTGATTCTAAGTTTGAGCTATCCCTGGATAAGTCATCAAACGTTCGCGTTGATGACTTATCCATCAAACTTGGTCCAACATTCATTTTACAAGTCATCTGAATCATGTATTTGTCAAAAATCATCTTAACCTGAAAAGTCGTCTCACTTAAATAACCTTCAAAAGTATAATGTAATTTCGGATGGGATCCCGTATTTCAACGGAAAATTTAATAATGAATCTATTTCGGAGCTCAAAAATAATTTAATATAAAAATTGAGTGAATTATCATCATTTTTTTAAAATTATCAATAACATTCCAAGGTTTGAGTCGCTATATTGGAGTCGCCATCTTAGATTTTTAAAAAGACCGGTTAAATAAAAACTACATACGCATAGCTTTAAATTGAGATCTCAGGCGACTTCATAAGTAGGTTGGACAGGAAAGTTGACCGATATGGCAAAGAATGCCATGTATATATATATATATATATATATATACGATATATATTCTAGGCCATTCTATAGTTTTTGAAATAAACTATATTTATAAACTATATATTTTTCAAATCTAGGTAACCGATTTTGACGTCAATTTTTTTAGATTTTGTTTGTTGAAATCTGACTCCTTGAATTTTATCAGATTTTTCCAACTAGATTGGGGCTCCTAAAATTTTTCAAAATTCGAAAATCGAACAAAAAATGGCCATTTTTTATCTATCGTTAAACTATAAATTTTGATGATATAATATCGTGCAAAAGCTCATTTTCTTTATTTTTACGTTCTTTCTACTCGTATTAGTGTATTTTTTATTTAATCTGTATAGTCAAGAAGCTGCTATACAGATACTAACGTAAAGTATATTTAATCCAATTTTCGCTCATGTTTCTAATACAAGAATCGTCAATTTCCAAAGTTTTTCATATGTTAGAAACTCATTTTCTCTATTGTTTTTAAATAAAGAAATTAAAATTATGAACGTTAAAAAAGAATAAAAATTGATATAGAAATGTAGTTGATCAAAAGAGATCCACAAAGTGAAAAATGGCGTTTTTAACGAAATTCTACCCTTTATAACGTTTTTCTAGCAACTCCTAGAAGGCTGAAGATTTAACAAGATATTCCTCATTCATTCCAAACAAGGTCTCATAGTAATTTTCTTGTAAATATTTCGGTTTCTATATGCTTTTTTAAATCTTTTGTACCCGTTTCTTCTATTTACCTCCGTTTACGTATAACATATTTCCCGATGTATTGTGGCTATTCTTTACTTTTAGTATACAATTTCTTGCATCTTTTTTTCTTTATTCCTATCCGATTTGGAAAAATGATTTTCATATATCTCTCTTTAATATGCCCTTAGTTATGGTGTGTCTTTTGGTAATCGAGTTGAAAATTGATATCATCAAGCTTTGATGATCAAGAAATATAATTAATTTTTCATGAATTATTTGTGATGAGAGCCACGGCTCGCGCCGTTGGCTCCGTCAACGTCTCTCCCTTCTCGGTGGCGAGAGAGAGAGAGAGAGAGAGAGAGAGAGAGAGAGAGAGAGAGAGAGAGAGAAAGAGAACAAAGGTTATGATTTGGACGCCAGCAGGGTTGGCACGCGTGAGGATTCGCCGATTGCCCGCTACTCAAGGGTTTTTGGTGGGAGGCGCCTGATGCCCGGCAGTAGACGGCAACAGCGAGTGAGTGTAGCACGCTTTGTCCGTGCCGTCTGATTGTGAGATTTTTCCTGTGGCCTTTGTCAAAGCGTGAGCGAGATCTTATTCTGCGACGCGTGTGCAACGCGGTACAGGTATTTGCCACGAGACCTGTCGTTTTCAAGAGAGAAGCTGGGAAGATCTTTGAACGAGCCGTTAGCATCTGTACAACACGAAGAACATCGAGCAGTTTTCCCTCATGGTTGATCTAATTTTTCTCTCTGTCTCGTAAGATCGCGTCGCCGGCAAATTGCGGAGGATAGGGAGGCTCAGCGGTTATTTCGCTCGAGAGCCTATGGAGAAACGTAGAGAATAGCTCGTAACCGTCGCCCCAGCCGGGTTCCATGCGATTTTTCGCAGGAACTCGCGGCTGCGGTGGTGCGAGAGCGCAATTGTTGTTACGTCGAATTACTGATTGGAATTGTTAGACTGTATAGATAAATATATGTATTAAATGAATTTTTAAGTGATAATTGTGTTGACCATTTCTGCCTGTTCCTTTCTGCGCGCGTCGAAACGTTGCCTTTCGCGTCCCCCGTGAAGCAACTTGGCCTTCCGGGTCCTAATTTCTAAAGAATTTGTCGTATTCTCCGGCAACAGGGGAAAACTCTTGACATATTCATATTATATTTAGTTCCACTTGCTAATGCTTTTGTAAAAATTAGAAATTGTCGAAAAAATGTTACCAACACTAACGATTTACAAAGAATTTACCTTAAGTGTACCTCACCGATTTTCTTCATTTTTTGATACGTAGTAATTCGAGAAATATTTTACCCGTTTCTTTTCGTTCTTGCTAATTCGGGGATTTAAGAGGTAAATACCACCTCTAAAGTTCACTTCCAAAAACGATTTTTTTATATTTCTTGGAAACTATTTCGAATTTATAAGTGAAACAAAGTACATATTATTTGTTATTCGAAAACAAGTATTTATGTATAATTTTCGATAAGAAGGGTTGTATTCCCTTGTTTTTATAGGTATTATAAGTTTCACATATTTTTCAAATATTATATAGTGAAATAATTTGAGTAGCTATCATGCTCTAGATGGCATTGATACTGAAATGAAATTATTAGATTTAATGTACTAAACGAACTTAAAGATGTTAAATAAATTAAAGAGAGGAAATGAAATATTTGACAAACCAAATTAATGGGAAAAAATCGGGAGGCACAAAAAACCCATTTTTATTATAAATACAAAAGGGAGAAAATTAAAGAAGAATCAAATTGAATACGACGTTAGCTAATGGTTCGTACTACATTCAATTCACATGCGATACAGCGCATGCTCAACCCACACTATTCTCATGCGATGTAGTGCATACTCAACCCGTACTCTCAATTAGATTTTCGTACGAAGATACACACATATGCATGCAATATTAATATGTACGTTTCTACGGTGCACCACAATGAAGATGACAGCAAAGTTTGAGTTATCTCAGAAAGACGAACTGCGGTTTGTAGTACCGAAATTGCAAAGATCTGCCCAAGGAGGTAAAAACAATTTTTTATTTACGGCTGCAATAATCAATGTTTATATATGTGTGGCTACAATAACAACAGGACACACACTAACGACGCCAGATACACAAAAACAGACAAGAGGTAACGATGCGTGGCTGTAATAGCTACGGGACACACATAGATGACACCAAATACACAGAAACGGACGAGACATAACGCACCAAAATGACGATACGACACCTTTGCACACACAACAGCCACGGAACACTGAATAACGAGATTAGTTGAGAGATTGCTAACCGCAATGCTTTAGAGCGTGCCAGGTCTGGGCGACTGGTTCGAGCGCCCCGTATCGGCCAAGCGTCGAACTGGACGCACGTTCCCCTCTCAGCTATAGAAAGGGTATACAAACGTGCGTCTTTCGAGTGAAGGGAACATGCGTCTGGCTACAGCTGACTAAAAGGGGCAGAGAAACGGTGTGTGCTTACTCGCTCGCTCGGAAGCATTTTAGACTTTCGAGCCCCGCTTGAGTTTACGCTTAGCTTAAGTAAAATTATCGATAATTATGTTGATATCAGATCAATGCCGGAATAATGAAGCAATTTACTATTGGCTAAGCACAAGTATTTAATCTTAAAACCCTATGCTCCTTTATAAACATATGTAACTTTCATGACTAAAATACTTAATGTGCCAGTAGCCGATATAGCTAAGGCGCACGCCTTATGCTTTCGTTTTCCCTACCGCGGGTTCAACTCCCGTTCGATTCAAATTTTTTTCATTTCAATCATATATCTTCATTTGATTTCTTCTTTTACTTTTTTATGATTGTAACATATTGAAATTTAGCATAAATTTTATGTATTTATTTTTATATATATAACAGTAATAAATACACTGCCGCTCACATAAATTTGGCCACCCCATCAAAAATCTGTCAAACTTTGAAGTTTTCTACCTCTATAAG